AGACATTTGCTGGAAGGAGGAGGCATGTTTTTGCTCAGGGGTCCACCAAGGTCGCTGGGTCAGCAGGCCAAGTCAGAGCATCGGATGCAGGCACCGAATGGTGAGTCCATGAGCTATGCAGGGCGTGGCAGCGCGGCCCCAATACCTTCTTCGCCATCCCCACGACGTCTCAGCCCACCTCTGGAACATGATGGGCGTCATGTGGCCGTCCAGCACCTCCCTGCAGGCCGCCACGCCCTGCACCGCAGCCTGCCAGGCCAGGGGGTAGCCCGGGCGGGTGGTGAGGACTATGCTGGCGACGTCCTCCACCAGCCGGGGCGACGACGCCAGGCGCGACCGTGCAGACTCCTCCCCGCCTTCCACCAGTCGGCGCAGGACCTGTGCACGGCAGTCGGGCGAACGGACAAGGGGGGGTGAGCCGATGCAGGAAGGGCATGCGAGGCTGGATTCTGGCAGTGGAGGCAGCGTCCGGTCTCGTGCGCCAGAACGCCGGCCGACCCATTCCGTTCGCCGGCGAACGTCATCATGCAGACCAGCCCCGCCCATTGCAGGCAGCAGTCACTCTACTGCACCCCATCATCTACATCAAGCTCGGGCCCGGATCGACGCACCATGACGGCTGAAGAGACTGCCTGCGCTTGGTGCGTCATGGCGAGGTAGTCTGGCGCGGTGGCGATGGCAGCGGCGCGGCGGGGACCCAAGGCCTCCACCGACCCGCCCTCCCTGCCCTCGCCCAGTTCGTGCAGCAAGCCTGGGTCCATCTGGGTGGTGAGGTACTCCGAGGCCAGACTCCTGTGCAGAGATGAATGTGTGTTTGTTGGGGGGGGGGTCAGGGTGGAGCAGAGGGAACCGCTGCCAGATGCATACAGGGGAGTTCCTGCTGAGGGGGGTCTGGTGGGAGTCGAGCTCTCTGCATGCCCAGTGACCCTCCCGGCTGGTAGTGCAAGGCCCCAGCATGCCGGGCCTCCTGCCTCTACTTGCCCAAGGCCCCCATTACATCCCAGAGTCCTGGAAATACAAACATGGGGACATTCCAATGGCCCCCCACACGCCCTCCCGCACACACACCGTAGCTCGGAGTAGGGCAGAGTGATGAGGAGGTGCAGGACCTCCAGGAGATCCCCCTCCTCCCAGCACACCGCGCGCGTGGCGGCAGCCATGGGTGAGTTGGGCGGGGCGGCCAGGAGCAGAGCGGCGACGGCCTCCCCCGCAAAGACAGCCAGCAGCGCCCCGCCGGAGACGGCGCCGGGGCGCATGAGCCTCAGGCAGGCGCGCAGGACCTCGGGCTGGCCGGCCGCGACGTACGCCGCCAGCGCTGGCACGGTGCGCAGCAGGGTGCTTCCCACGTGGCACAGCGCCGCCGGCCCCGGGTCGTGTGCGGGGACAGGCGTCCGGGGGACCCGCGCCGCAGCGGCGGGCCAGGCCGAGGGCGCCGCGGAATGCACCGCCCAGAGCACGCGGGCCAGGAGGGGGAGGCAGCCGGCCTCCACCGCAGCCGTGGCCGCTGCCGCGCCGCCCGCGGCGACGGCGGTGCGCAGGATGGCGGCGGCGGTCTGCGCCGCCTCCAGTGCCTGCATCTGCCGCTGGAGGTCGCCGGATGAGGGGTAGAGGTCGTAGGGACAGGACTGGGGGTCCGTGGTCGCGGCTCGCAGGCCATCGTGTAGCACCTGGGGTGGAAGGGAGGAGGGTGGTGAGGGCATGTGGGTGGGGGTGCAGCAGAGGGACAGGTACCCGCACCCAGGAAAGGGCCATGATACAGTGCAGCACTCACCTCCAGCAGGGCTGCCGTCAGCCCCGGCCAGACGTGCATTTGGAAGCCGGGCTGCGCCGAGATGTGCGCCAGGATGGACAGTGCCCGACTCTGAAACTCTGGGACATGGCTGTGCACATCGGCCACGAGTGCCCCCACCTGCGTTCCGGAACGATTCGGCAACAGGCTTTGTGGGAGCAATTCTCGCTGGACAGGACCGGTAGCGCGCGAGGGCATGGCATCCTGGGTAGTTTGATTGCCTGGCGCATACCTGTGCGCTCGTGGGAGGCTCGGAAGTTTCAGACGACACCCGGTCGGTGCTGATGACACTTCCAAAGGCGCCCGATGCTGGGGACTTGGAGGACATCCAATCAGCACGCCAAAGCTTGCAGCGCTCCTGTCACAGGTTGCGAGGCTCGGTGCTGCATCGCACGTTGGTGGAGGTCCGTGGTGTCGAGGACAGGCAAGGTCGCTAGGACAGGACCAGACTTGAGAATCAGTCTTCAGCAGAAATTGAAGCTTTACGTTGAGTGCTCAAGCTCTTCGGTTGCAAAACTGTGCTCGATGGAAGGCGGGACAAAATGCGCAAATACATGCAGGTGAAAGTTCAATACGACGATCGGGGAGTGTGAGTGGGTCCACAATGCTGCCGAGTAGCACATGCAATTTTTAGCTCTTCACCTCCCCGTCAATTCTGTTTTCTTCCTCTTTTTCCAAATGGGATGCTGTTGGCAGTGAGAACAGCGTTGTTGATGTTCGATTTATGGATCTTGTTATCTGACACTCCTGTGTGTGCAATGCTGTATTGCAGCCAGCTGCGGCATTTGCATGCAGAATTCGATCAAACATTTCTTTCTATCGGGCTAGTAGAGAATGGTGGACCATTGCAAGCTTGGAATCTACAGCGCTCATCCTGGCCAAGCAGGTTTCTGTCTCGGCATCACGCATCGAGCGCGGGTCGCCAACAAGGGCCTCCGGAACCGGTCGAGATCGGGGCGTAATCAGGCAAAGCCAAACAACCCAACAGCTTGTATTTGTTGATTGGTTCTGTAGTCGGGAGGTTGCCCCTAGCTCGAGCCGCGAACATCGCAATGGACCAAAGCACCCGGCGACGTGTTAGGCACTTGACGGAACTCCTCTCACCCGCATCTCATCCCCTGGGGTTCGATGAACCGGTGAGAGCCGTCAAGTGTTCATCCCGGCGAAGCTCCCGAGTCTGCGTGCTGGGAGCTGGCGTGGTGGGGCTGACCACGGCCCTCAGACTCCTCGAGCGATTCCCTGGGCTCAACGTCGTCGTTGTGGCCGACAAGTATGGTACCGAAACTCTGAGCGATGGAGCCGGGGGTCTTTGGATGCCCTTCGCCCTAAGTGAGTAGAGGGAACCCCTGTGGAAGTGAGTCTGGCCAGGGGCAGTCCAGAGTGAGGACGCACAGCTCGGGGTCGTAGCCCTGCCCTCACCCAGTAGGCTTGCATGAGTCGTTTTCATATCGGCATTGGCTGCATCAAGCCACGCCCGTCACCCCACGCAGGTGGCGGCCAGGTGGATCTGGTGGCCAAATGGGGAGCTGCCACATTTCAGCACTACATGGATCTGTATCGCACCAAGCACGCTGCCGACGCAGGCGAGCGGTCATGGGAGAAGGGACGGTGAGAAACATTTACTTGCGGAGCGTATAAGCCGTCTTCTGCAAAATTTGCTGAGACTGAATGCGCAGATCCACCTGAAGCACTCCATCTTCCTCCTGCCCCCTTCCACCCACTCCCTCAGGTGTCATGCTGACTGGTGGGTATGACCTCTCGTCGGTACCCCTCCCAGAGGAGAAGCCTTTCTGGGCCGACATCTTGCTTGCCTTCAGACGGCTGGAAAGCAGTGAGCTGGCCGCCTTCGATCCAAGCGGTACATCCGTCGATGGCTATGGATTCACCACAATTGTGACGTGAGGCGGCCAATTTTGGGAAAGGAAGCTCCACTGCACGCGGCATGCCCTTGCAAGCAGAGGGGGAGTGCGGACCTCCTCATGCCTTGAATTTGCAGGGAGGCCAGCGAGTCTGCCCCTTTCCACCGAGCAGGGAGGGGCGACTTTACCTGGTCTGGTTGATGAAGCAGATTGAGCAGCTGGGCGGCAGGCACGAGCGCCGTCATGTCAGCAGCTTGGATGAGCTGGCCGATTACGATGCCGTGGTCAATTGCACAGGTGCGCACGTGGTCGGGTTGCGTGAGCCAGCACAGGGGGCGCAGCCCTCCCCTGCTGCTGGGAGAGGCACACCGACGCCGTTTTGCATCATCAGCCGAGTGCCCCTGTGAGGCAGGCCCACATTCCTCACCCCATCGCCACCACCACTCCTGCTTGCGCTGCAGGCTTGATGGCCCCAAAGCTGGTGGACGGCGAGGAGATGTACCCCATCCGGGGCCATGTCATCCGAGTGCGGGCCCCCTGGGTCCGGCAGTACACGAACAAGGACAAGGACATCTACATCATCCCCAACACCGGTGAGGCTCGTGGGCCTCATACCACCCCTGGGCCCCGCCGCCAGCAGCGGCATGCGGTTGGTGAAGGGGGCCGCATCGCCTGGCTCGGCTTCTAACACCCCTCCCCCGCCGCCCCCACCCATGCCTGCAGACACGGTGGTCCTAGGAGGCACGATCCAGAAGGGGGACTGGGACACTGTCCCACGGCCCGAGGAGCGCGCCAGGATCCTTGAGCGGTGCTACTCCATCCTGCCCAGCCTCAGGCGGGCGCCCATCGTGCGCGAGTGGGTGGGCCTCCGCCCCGGCCGCGCCGCCATCCGGCTCGAGCTGGAGCGCCGCGCGCTCCCGGCGACCGCCGCGCGGCGGGGCACCCTTCCCGTCGTCCACAACTACGGGCATGGCGGGTCGGGGCTGACCCTTGCCTGGGGGTGCGCCGCCGACGCAATGCAACTCGTGCAGGCGGCGCTCCAGCTCTGATTTTTTGCCACACTGTGTCTGTGCTGGTCGACCTCAGATCCCCTTGATCGGCTGCCCCCTGAATGTATGTCGCAATGCTGGATTGCAAGGAAGTGGGGGTACAGGCAACTGCATTGCAAGGTTCACCTCAGGTGCAGACACCGTCAAGCGCAAAGGCTGCCTGCGTCCAGCCTGGCCGGGCCGACCCCTGGGCCGCCCACAGCTCTAGGAAGCGATCCTTGGCGCCAGGCAGCAGCGTCTCAATCGTGTCGTACACTGCCTGGGGCACCGCATGGCAGGGTGATCCTGGCACGGGGGAGGGGTGGGCAAGAGGTTGGCTGCGGTGCTCATCAGTCTGCTCTGACAATAAAGACATGGCATGGTCCACAGTGCCGAGGCCTCTGCCCACTACCCTCCCACCCACCTGCGATGGGCAAGCAGCAGTCGAACAGCACGTCTGGGTTGCGCTGGTGGCGCAGCTCCATCTCGCGTCCGCGGTCTGTGGGCGCAAAGATGGGAGCTTGGCGAATGAGGCTGCGGGCAAATCTTGTCCTGTGGAGCCCAGAGCTACCCACAGCAGGAATGTGCGGTGTTGCAAGACCTGACGTCCAACCTTATACGAGATGAGTAAACGGGATGTTTGCAGTCCGATCCACTCGACCCAATGTACTTTTCTCCAGCCGATCAATCAGAACAACCCCCCCAAGCACCCCGCAGCAACCCCATCAGTACCTGCCCATCGAAACATGTACAGAGTTAGGTGGGAGGAGGCAAAGAAGGGCGACTCCTCCCGAGATACAGTATGATTTGGGGAAAGGTAAACCCATGTCAGGTTTTCGATATACATGAAGCCCCAGCTCACCATCTGCGCAAGTAGGTGGGGTGGAGGATGCACTTGTCAAAGCGAAGCTGTATTATATCAATGCTCCTGCGTTCTGGCATTACGCAAGCCTCTACGCACGTTGTAACCAAGTGTGGATCAGGAACGGCTTTGCACCTCTTGGCGAGAGGGACTGAATGACCCAACCTCCCCTCCTCATAGTTTTGGATGGCTGATGCCTATATACCTGTTGACAGACAGACTGAATGTACTGTTTTGGGATGAACATGAAGACCATTCCCGAGGGTACAAGGTCTGGCAGTGGGAGCGTCGCAAACCTCTGCGCATGTTGTGAGGATCGGACAATGGGCAGTGCGTGCGGCAGCACGGCCTCAACTTGGTGGGGATTGTGCAGTCTAGCCTTCCGCCGTGTCTCAGGTACCGGCTGGTGCATGGCCTCCCTGTGCTCACCTTGAGGCCAGCCCCATCATCCCCACTCTCTACCCACCCAGGGTTGATCAGCGCAGCCTGCACGACAGGATGCCAGGGGATGGCGTGGAGCCATGCTTACACGTCCCGTGGAGAGCACGATTGGCAGTGTTCCTCGCTACCGTCCAGAGTTACGAAAACTGACATGAGACTGCAAGCTGGTTTCTCTCATGCCTCACCTCATATGTGGCTGCTGCGGCCTTGCATTTCAGCCAGGAGTCGTAGGAGACTAGAGGACCCCGCTTCTCCTGCCCATCCACTGACGACCCTACAATCTCAGCATCAGCAGAAGGGTCAGCTGCAATCCAAATACCCCGTGAGCTAATCCCTTCGGCCCCCACAAAACTGTGCTGCGGGAATGTCCCCTGCTCCATTCACGCGCCTGGGCTGTATGGCCTCACTGTTCTTCCCCAGGATAGGGGGAGTGGGGCTGCCGGGATGCGCATGGTGACGACCTCGTTTTTATCGCATACCCTGACTTTCCTCCTCACAAGGGCCTGATGGTGGAGGAATTGGCAGGGGCAGGACATGGGGGCCGGAGCGACATGAACATCTGTCGAGACAGCCCACAGCCACTTGTGTCTTGTTCACCACGACAAAGCCTTGCGGGGCACTGGAAAAGTGGGACAACGACCCACCTGAGAGAATGGATTGTAAGACGTCACTAGTCTGTGTCGGGATTGTGAGGATGGGCGTGCTCCTGTGGTGCCTCCAGGCATTCGCTGCCTGTGTCAGACATTTGATTGTATTTGGAAGAACGGAAAACAAAGGAACAAAATTAAGGGACAGAGGCCAGATCTGAGGTCATGCAGAACCCTGCCGCTGCGGAGAAGACACTTTGCTCAAGGCGCTCCCTACCCACCTGGGTTCTGTGGAAGACCGCTTCACCGCATCTTTCCCGTTCTCTGTGATGAGGCCGGAAGGGGAGCTTAGTAGGATGCGGCCGGGCTGCTGTACCTCAAATTTGTTATTCGGAAGCCGAGCTTTCGTGTGGGTTGCTGAGCATATGTGCAAGGCAAGCTATAAGCCGTCGCCATTTCATACCACTTCATGCATAACCAAGGGGTCAAACTCTGCTTTGAGCACCTCATCACTCACCAGTTGCAGACCAGAATGTTTGGATCCAGTCCTCATCATCTGATACTTCCTCGTCAGAACCATACCTGTGCATCCAAAGGAGGGTGATGATGGTCTCACCGATGAGACATGGCCTCTCCAGGATGTCTGTACAGGCAGTGCAAAGTCTGGGAGCACGAAGCATGAAACGGGAGATTCTCCTCACCTATCCGCATATTGACAGAGAAGGTCATCTATGCTGAGAAGGGCCTCGTTGTCAGCCAGGGCGGTCTTGACATTGAATATGGATGTCTGCAAAGGGTTTCACGTGGTTTTGTAGTGGGTGCACTGGAGGGAGTCTTCTCACCATGCTCCCTCCACCAGACCATGCTTTGATTGCCCAAGGAGGCCATCTGCTCTCCGAAATGATCCACAACCACGGAGCGATTTTCACACACCTGTTTGAAAACTTCCAAGAGCTGTGCATCTGTCAAACACCCGTCTCGGCTCCTCTCCTCCACTGCAGCAAGGATCTCCAGGCCGACAGTATTCACATTCCCTGCCTTCCCCTCCTCCCCAGGGCTGTGTGAGCTGGCCTGTATACGATCAAGGGCCTCGAACTTGGCCATGATCATCTCCGGAGTCTCATCATCCTCGACCTGGCCGCGTTGGGGTTGTGGGGTGGGGGTGCTCGGAATTGATGGAGGGCATGGCTAATACTTCGCCTGACACTGCAAGGCGCACGAGCGTCGCCGCACTCACATAACCGACGTAGTGGACCGCCGATGGCTGACCCGATGCTTGATTCCCACGGCGGGTGCACCGTCTCTTGCTGCGGGCGTCCGCCACGTCCTCTTCCATGATCGACACCCCGCGGTCCAAGCAGTGGATTCTGTTCAGGGGTTAATTTGGAGGACAGCGGGGATCCGAGGGCGTTCAGCAACGCTAACTACGATATGTACAGAACATGCATGCCGTATCGGGGGTGCAGATCGCCGTTTTGCGATTCATACCAACTCCCAGCTGCCCCCAAAACAAACTTTGAAGCCCGCCGAGAGAAAATGTCGACGTGGCGGTCGCGCTCCGGGAGGTGGTGATCAGCGCGGATGCGACACCCATTTACAGGTTGTGGTCCACATTCGATCGAATTGAAGGGATGAGATGCAAGTCGTACTTTCGTTGCGGCGAGTTATAGAGCATCGCCGCAGCTTTCAGTGAGGGGCCTCTGTACAGTGTGCACATGGCCCAGAGGCTTCCTGACTATGTCCCATGAGCTACGGCAAGTGCCTTGTACCTTCGCACCGTAGCATAACACCGAGACCCGCCGATGTTGTCATGCTGAGATCATTGCCTGGGAGGATGATGTCCACAGACAGCATCGGGCTGGCTAAAGCCGCGCTGCGCAGGGATGTCCTCCAGCGCCTGAAGGGCATGTCAATGCAAGACATGCAGTCTGAGAGTGAGTCGGGGGTGCGGGAGTGGCGTGGCATTGTTGAGTCGCGACCACCGAGTCTAGGAATCCCACTACCCAGTTTTCGCTTTCTTGCAAGGTGCTGCCATTGGCGAGCAGGTGGGAAGCTGTACTCTCTTCAAAACTGCCCAGTCTGTGGCGGTCTATGTTGACTGTGAACGGCTGAGGGAGGTGCAGACCGAGAGCATCGTCACTGCAGCGCTGAAGAGTTGCGCCAGGTGACATCTGGGTACTGGGCATTGTCTATTGTTTCTCTGAGGGGAACCAGCACCTGGAAGTCATCATCAAAGCGCGGCTGAAACTCACCCAAATCAAGGGCCAAGCAACCCAGCCCAGCCTTTCATACCAATGCGTGGTAGGGTGTACGTACCACGCGTGCTGGACCGAGACAGCAACATGCATTTTCTGAGGCTGCAAGGCTTGGAGGAGCTGGTGCAGGTTCCACCCTTTGGCATCCGCGAGCCCCCTCTGACAGATGCGGCTGGCGCCCCACGGTCCGACGCTCTTCAGAGCCCTGACCCCCTGCAGCTTGTGAGCATGCACAGAGGGTGATTGCAAGCTGGCGGTGGTGTTGACAGCAGGCTTGACCTCACCCCTGGTCGATGGGCACAAGCTTCTGGGGTTCTGCAGAGTAGTATTTCGAGTGGAAGGTCCCCGCTCCACTGGCATCAACCTCAGGCCTCTTCCCTACGTCTCGCCCTGCGACTCGTAGATTATCATGCCGGGCCTGGCCTTTGACGAGTCCGGCCGCCGGCTGGGCAGAGGTGGGGGGTACTATGACAAGTTCATCACCTCCATCCGCCAGGTGGGCTCGTGTGGACGGGTTAACCAAGGAATATAATTTTACAAACCAGACGGCTGTATGTATCTCACCAAGGCAGCACACGTTCGTGCTCCATGGGTGTATTTTATGACTTTCATCATTCATTGTCAAGTGATGGTGTAGGAATTGACTTGCCCATCTTTGGTGTTCCACACGACACCCCTGTCCAGAGATCTCTGGAAAGGAGCTGGAAGACTCCTCTCCTTGTGGCACTGGCCTTCAATGCACAAATGGTGGACAGCATCCCCGTCGGTCACCATGACGTCCCAGTGGACGTCATTGTCACACCCCGTGGCCCCATCCTGTGCACTCGCCGTGGAGAAGAGGAATGGCCCTAAAATAATGTGGATTGAACTCCTGCAGGTCAACTCCACTGTGCCCCAAGGTTCTCGTTAGGTCGGTTCAAGCACGGTTATGAATCCTGAAGTAGAGGCATCTCGCTGCTGCTTCAAGCACATAGCCTGCAATGCTGTGGGAAGGTGGCATGACTGGTGCCGCCCCCACACCAGCATGTTCCGCGAACACATGCTGCCCGTCTCCGAAATGGCCATCGTCGCAGACCTAGCGTGATTTGATGTGCGGCTGTGCGTCAAGCAGCCTCCTCATCTAATTTCCTTCCATCCTGATCGAAAGTCACCGGGCATGAGACCTTGCTGTCGCTGCAGATCTGTTCGGAGTTTTGAACGACGTGTGTCGGCTGCACGAACAACCTACTTTCATGCCGCCCGATACTCTGCAGGCCTCCTCCACGCCGGCTCGGCATCGCGGAATGAGACTTCAGTACCTCAAAGTCATGATCATGGGCACCATGACATGGGAAATGGCCGTTTGCACACACGTGGTGCATTTGCTTTCAAACACGGGCAGCTGTGGTTGCCGTTCCGACACCCCCCCTAGCTCGAGGCAAACCGACCGGGGTTAAAAGCAGCTCGACTGCACTGCGGACATCCCAAGTCCGCCCGTCCCACGCTCCACTGAATTCCACTCCAACGTTTAATTCAGATCGCCTCGACTCTGGTCGGAGACCTTCGTCATGGATCGCACGATGAAGTTCACCCTGGCGGTGGTGGCGCTCCTCCTCTGCACATGTTCAGCTCGAACATTGAAGCAGGGCGACGAGGAGGCCCCCCCTCCCGGAGCCGCGTTTGCACGTCTCGTCTGGGTGGTACGTGCATTGATGCTCGGCCTTCCTGCATGCTGAGCACCGCGGTGTGACCCCGAGCTGGGAGGCAGGGCTGCCTGCTGCCATAACGCACCCCCCTCTCCCCCTCCGGCAGGCGACCGGCATTCCGTCCTGCCGTCTGGACCCCAAGTTCTTCAGCATCGACCTCGACAAGTGTCAGGGTCTCAGTGAGCTGGCTGAGAAGGTGGCCAAGAACCAGACGGTGGACGAGGTGGTGTGCGAGCCCGAGTGCGCCAACGAGTACAAGAAGGTGGGCAGAGGAGGGGGGTGGGCTGGGTTGGAGGTCTTTGTAAAGGTTACCTGGACACTTGAAATCCAGGCCCACTTTGTCGGGCCCAATTGTTCCTTGGAATTCTGTTCAGGAAGGCGATTGTATCCCTGCAAACAGGCAACCCAGAAAGCAGCCTGTCGTATGCGGTACAGAATCCTCTAAGCCACACCATAGCCTCCGATAAGCCGTCCCATCCCGGGCACCTGCCCCTCAACCCCCTCTCACCCCCCTCCCTTCACAATGCTCCCTCCAGCTGAACAGCCAGTGCGCACGCGACCTGTTCGACACCTTCTCCCGCGACACGGTGGACTTTGCCAACGCCACCCTCCTGTACTGGGGCGCCTGCGCCGCCCAGAGCGTGGCCACCTCCCTGGGCTACCCCCCCGAGCCCACCTCGGTGCTCACCCCCGAGAAGCAGGCCGCGGTCGAGAAGCTGCTGGGCCTCAAGTCCGCTCCCGTCCCGGCACCCGCCCCCGAGCCCGCCAAGACTGCCGACATGACGGCCGAGCAGGCCCTGGAGGCAGCACAGGCCGCCCTCACAGCCGCAGCCGCAGCCGTCAGCTCCGCCTCGGCGGCGACCACCGCCGTGGAAGCCGTCAGGGCCGCCAACGGCCCGTGAATTCCGTGTGCTGTGTGGCGGGGCCTGGCAAGCCGAAAGGGTTGGCCACGCCCAGCACGGCGATGCGAGGAGCTAGGGCTCCTTGTGGGCACCCACTCCAACCACCCCTCTTCATCATGTCCCCGCTCCCCCCGACCCTGATTTCATTACCCCCCCCCCCCCTCCCTCTTGTGTCTATTGGTTTTGCTGCTGTCCTTGTGATGAAATCCTGCACTTGCTGACCCCGGACCATGCATGTCCCAGGGAGCCAAGGTGTGCAAGGATCACATCGAGAGCGGAGTTCGCCCCTCCCATGACCGAATGATGCGCAGAGTAAAAAACTTGCATGCCCAGCCCTCTGTAACCCTAAGCACATGGTGCAATGGTGTGACCAGGGGTAGTGCTCAAGCAGGAGTGGGTCAGAACTTCAGCAAACGGCTCCAGCATTATCCCTGCCCCAGACCAGGCTGGGTCGCAAGGAGCAGTCACACAGCCCGACACTGCCTCACGGCCGTCGATCAAAGGGCGCAGTGTCCCTGAAACACCTGTCGAACACGGCATCCACCGCAGCTGCCGCCTCGCCGGGGCCTCTGCAGTGTGGATTCATGCCCACGCTCAGCTCTGCACGCCTCCTCACGCACACCTGGTGCTGTTTCTGCAAGGAAAAATTGCCCCTCATGACTTCCATCCGATAATTGCAGTCGCCTGTGGGAATGGAGGGTGGCAGTGTTCCAAGGGGGTGCTGGGAAAAGTTGATTGCACACCCAAAGCAGAAAGCTCCCGGCTGGCAGCCCCTGACCCAGCGCATCACCAGCTTGCTGTGGTCCAGGGGCCGCTGCACCATCAAGAAGCTTTCGTGGCACCCCTTGCTGCCCAGTGCGCGCCGCCTGCAGCCCCACCTGAGAGGGAGGCCGCCCGAATCTCGCTGCAGGCATGGTGCTCTAGGCTTGCCCAGTCCAGAGACGCGGCTCGGCAGTGGTCGTAGGCGTGGATGAGCTCATGGGTCAGAGCATTGTCCACCTGTGGGATCGAGGGATGAAGTGATGTGCTCCATCGGAGCATGTATGGCCTCAAGCTCACTGGGACCAAATTACCCCAGCAATTGCTGGTGACCCAGCCCCCGGACATTCCATTTTCAAGCGCAGCCAGCCCATCGACCTACATGCAGGCCTACCAAGCCTGAGAGAGACCCAGGAACCAAGGCAGCATCCGCAATGGCACCAGCACCCACCTCGATCTGACTGGCCAAGTGGTTGTGACAGACCACGACGCCGTCGGGGGGTCTGAAGCCCCCACCCACTTGCGCATCGCAGTGTTCTACCTTTATGAATTCCCGGTCGACCGCACAGCCTGCCTGCGCAATTGAATATGTCACGGTATTGAGGACTGACGCCCATGGGCCAGGGCTGTGCGTGACTGTCCTGCCAGTGCTCACTGGGTATGTCTGTGGTGTCCTCACACGCATGCATCTCCGTCACCACGCCCACCTCTTGCATCTTCTGCATCATGAACTTGACAAAGGCGTTTCTTGTCACGGCGCGATCCACCATCATCTCTCCAACATCGGCAGTAGTTCCGGGCCACTCTGGGTTCTCAGAAGGCTCCGTCATGCTGCTCTGTGCCACCCCGCTGCCACTCGCGCTGGGGCTAGACCCACTGGCTCCCCTGTGCATGCGTTCCTGATTGCTATAGGGGTTGGAGGCGCAATGTTTCGGAGTGTCTGTCCTCAAAGATGGTGTCAATAGTGCTCTCGGTAAGGTCGCGAGCTCTTCTCCACTGCCGCAATGGACATCAATAGCAATGCATTCCGACAACTTCCCTAATCCAATAGGGCGTTCTGTAACACGTAGACAGTTTTCGCGATACACACTCATCCAAGAGACGCGTAGCTTCACGCTTGAGAGGGATTACTTGTCCTCGTCGTCGGTTCACAAGGAAATCGAGCAAACTCGATTTCACAACTAAACACCAGAAGGGGGCTCAACACAACCAAGGGTACCAAAATTGAAGGCAGGCATGCCCAAAGCAGCTACAACGACCGTACACTGAAAGAATGGGACTCAAGGGTGAGGCGATTGGGCGCATTGTATCTGAGCCTTCCGCGCAGGACACCGGGCAAGGCCAGCCGCTGTCTGCGCCTTGCTGTCGGTGTCCCATGGTGTCGCCGCGTGGAGCCTTGGCTCCAGGACGCTGCTGCCACTGGGCCCTCCTGCCCAGGGCCTGGGGAGGCCCGATTCCCGGGGGCAAACACCATCCTGATGCGCTCCGGTGGCTGCCTCTGGGTGCCGGGGACCCGCAGAGCATTGGAGGCCAGGGCTGCAGCCAGACCGCCAAGCCCGGCCGCCGCCAGCAGGCCCCACGCCAGGGAGCCTGCAGGCAGGAGCCTGCAGGCGAGGGCCGTGCCTGCCAGCAGCGGGACAGCGAGCAGGGACCCGGCGCGGATGAGACCCGCCGCCATGCCCTCCTCCGTCCTCAGCCGCCGGCAGAAGGCCAGCAGCTCCTGCGGGGGCCCAGACATGCCGACCAGGAGCAGGGGGCCCACGATGCCAGCAGCCTGCTCGTTCCACCGCAGGCAGGCCAGCGCGCCCACCGCAAACCAAGGCAGCGTGCGCAGCGCGGTCAGCTTCACCAAGTCTGGGGCCTGCTTGGGTGAGTGGGGGCAAGGGGGCTGGGTGGGCCTGGGCAGTACAGGCCGCGACATGCCGCAGCGCACAGGTGCTGTGGTGAGCCACAGGGGCGACACACACGAATGCACGAGGCTCGAAGCCGTGTCCTCAGATTTCATAGATAATGCTGTTCAGCGAGCCTGGGGCAGGGGTCTGGAGGCTTGGGGGGGTAGCTTTGCACTGCCATGGAGGTTCAGAGGGGGCCAAACACAAGGTGCACTGTACAGGAGCTTTGAGGGAGCGGAAGAGTGTGCAGGATAAAGTCAGGTAAGAGTACGGGGACGCTGCTAGAGGCAGTGAGGGATAGGTATGCTCCATATGCGGTGCGGGCGTTATCCTCGGGAAACAGAGCGAGTGATGCTGGGGGTGCGGGAAAACTGCTCGATCGGACTTGGAATGCCAGGTCAGCGGTACCCCTTGGCTCCTGGACAGGGCAACCTCGGTTGGCCACTTCCTCCCCGCCGACGACTCCACCGAGTCGACCCCAGCCCCCGCGCCCCTGCCCCACAACGTGGCCCTCCAGGCTTGTAGGTTTGTAATCACTGGACGAGAGCCTGCGCAGTGGCAGGAAGTGTTCTGAACTCCCCCTCTTCACCCAGCACGTGCCTGGGCTGGGGCAGGCGCCCTAGCGCCTCGCTTGACACCTCCGTCCCCCAGGGTCAGGCCCAGCACGATCAAGGCCAGGGGAGCCTGGAAGGTAGCGAGCCGACCTGCAGCACTCACGACCTGATGATGACAGGCAAGGGAGGCACTTTTGGGAAAGAGGAGACGGCGTCCGCAAGGCTTCCTCTTGATTGCTCATTCCCATCGAGCCCTACACAGAACAAGCATCCAAACGCTTGGCCCGGCAGACCCCGACAGAAAGCCCTGCCGGCAACACCATGGCGCTCACCGATGGGGAGAGGGGCTTCCCCGCAAGCCAGAAGGCGCCGACAACCCCCACCGCAAGCAGGGCCGGGGTGGAGAGCAGGGACCGCAGGGCCGCGCCTGGGCTGAAGCCGCCCACCTCCACCTTCTTGGCGGCGGAGGCGGCCTGGGCGGCCGTGGCGACGGCCAGCGCACACTCCTCGGGCTCCGTGCGCTGACTGAGCTTTCCCCCTTTCCAGATGCCGGACTGCGCCTTCCCAGAGGCCGAGGTCCTGATGCCCCTGCCCTCCGGGACGCCCGCCTGCCACTCCCCGGCGTACGCCGCCCCGCTCTTGTAGCGGTAGATGCCTCGCCCCGACTTGACATTGTCCCTCCACTCCCCTGCACGGTGGGAGGAGGTGAGGGGGCATGGAGGGGGGGCGAGCTGGGCGCTCAGAGATCCAGGAGCATGCCAGAGCCAGAGCCCCAAACGACCCCCAGGGATGCATGAACATGCCCCAGGCCCAATTATGCAGGGCGCTGAGTGCGCCGTGCTCCCGAGGCCATCCCCTCCCCCACCCTGGCCGTTCAGCTCGGCCCCGCCCCTCACCTTGGTACTGGGCCCCAGAGGCATACCGGTATACACCAAAGCCGTCCTTGAGAGCCCCAGACAGCTCCCCCCTATACTTGCCGCCATCGTCGTGGTACAGCGCCTCCGGCAGGGCGTTCCCAGCTCTGGAAAGCGCGGCAAAACCCAGCGTGCGAAGCAGGACAGCATCGAGGGCGGCCAACGTCAGGCCGACGGCGAGGGCGGGGGGTCCCGCAAGCAGGCCCAGCAGGGGAATTGCCAGGAGTACAGGTCCGGTGGGGAGACACAGAGCTACGCTGGCAAAACGCTGACGGAGGGGCTGGTGAGCATGTGTCGCACTGTGTTTGGGGGTCGGGTTGTGGGGGAATGTGGGGATGCTGACTATTAGCACAGATAGGCAAGGTGTCATGGTCAAATGTGAGTCGGATACTTGGCCAAGCTTATTCTAGCATGAAATTTCGCTCTGAGGTAGCCTGGCGACCCTAAACCGCGCTTGCCCGCCCAGCCCGCTGCTCACAATGCGAGGACTGCGATGATGGCCTTGGTGCCAAGATAAAGCGACAGCGTCGGCACCCATGGGTAAGGCGGAAGCGGCCTGCAGGTGGCGCATTGCAGTGTTTCAGGACATGAAACGGTGTAAATGATTTAGCTGATGTGGCTTTGAAGGATGCGAAGAGGGCAGGCTCTGCAGGTACCCCACACCAGCTCAACGAGCCACTTCATCAGGAAGATCCCCAACTGATCCTCTCCACAAAAACTCAGGGTCACTCGCCCGCCCAGAGTGTGCAGGATCAGGGAGGGCAGCGTTATCTGCGAGACGAAGCGCAAGGCCACCTGGGGAGTAGGGTGGGAGGCGGACCCACCAAGTCAGCCGAGGAGCGACGTACATGACTAGCACTCGTCAGACACCCATATCATGACATAGATTTCCGTCGCCCTCCCGTTATAGGATTACCTGGACATCCTGATCCTCAAGCAAGGAGGTCCTCCGCAGCACCAGGCCCACAGCGGGACCAACCGCGATGCTGCCAAGCAAGGTCCGCAAGCCTTCCATCGGAGGCTTTTACTTTCCCAAACGCCACATTCTTTCGATATGTTGAGTGAAATCTGTGCAGCGGCCCTCGATGCTGTGATTCAAGCATGCGCGCATGGACTACGGTGCTGGAGTGGCTGCATGCTGCCCATGTGCGTCCCCAGCACGGATGATGCTGAGGCGCCCCCAAACACTCTCCGTGCCCTGAGCACAGCGACAGCCTTACACCATGCTTCACAGTTCTCGTAGGCAAGGCATGCCTTATCAGGGCCACGAGGTGAGCAGCGCGCCGCCCCGCGCCCTACCACTTGCCCCACTCGTCCTCCTGCGCCGTGGCGCCGCGGCCGGCGCCTGCGGTGGGGGCGGCGGCGGCGGGCGCACGCGCCGGCGGCGCCGACGCCCACTCCTCCTCCCCGCCCCACTGGCCGTCCGCGCCGGCGTCGTCGAAGCCGCCAAAGGCGGCGGACTGCTGCGCGTGGCGCTGGCCCTGCTGCCCGCCGCCGCCGCCGCCCTCGGAGCCATAGCCGCGCCGCTCCTCGACCTCGTCGTCGGCCGCGGAGGCAGGGCGGTAGCCGCCTCCCACGGGACCGTAGCCGGCGCCGGCATGCGCTCCGCCGCCCAGCGCGGGGGAGGAGGCGGAGGCCGCCACGCGCCGCGCGCCCAGGTCCACGCGGTACCCGTTGGCGGCGGCGGTGGCCTCCAAGGAGGAGGCGGCGCTGGCGTATGCGCTCTTGAGGAAGCCCCAGCCGCGGCTGCCCACCTCGCGCGCCCGCTCTGCCGCCGCCTGCGTCTGATCCTGGATGCCCGCCTCCTGCAGCCGGGCCTGCGCCACGACCGCCTTCTCACGCGCAGTGGCGGCCGCGGCGGAGGCCAGGGACCCCAGCCCAGACAGGCCCTTGCTCAGCAGCTGCGTCATGTCCTCCACCCCGCGCTCGCCACCTGCCCCTGGCTGCGGGCCGGGCGTGGAGCCGAAGCCGACGTACTTCCCGCCCTGGCTGGGGGGAAGGTCGGAGGGGCGGCCCGCGTTCTCCGCGACGCGGCGCGCGAAGAAGGTGTCCTTGCTGGCGGCCGAGGCGGCCAGGGCGGAGGAGGAGTAGTTCCCCGCGCCGGAGCCGTTGGAGAATGAACCACCTGCGACGGGGGCGGGGGAGGGGGGGGCGGGCGGCGGGCTTAGAAAGCGGTGAGTCTGGGAAGCAGGCTTGCAGAGGGAGCCCGGGCCACTGGCTCACCATCCAGGCACCCAAGGCTTCCTGTGCCGTCTTGCCCCACCAGGACGATAGTGCTGCCCCATGTGACCCAGAGCCTTGCAGTTTCTCAGATTATTCCAACCCCACATCGTGAAGAGCTGGGCCTCCGCCCCCAAATCGCCCTGGGCGTCACCCGGTTGCCCCTTCCCCATCCCCCTCTGCATACCTCTGGAGCCCGGGCGACCGCCAGAGCCAGTGCCGCTCGATTCCTGGGGCTCGTCCCAGCTGTCCCACCCCGCGCCCATCCCCCGGGAGGCCACGTTGCCGCTGCTCCCCTCCCCCCGCCGCAGCGTGCCCGAGGCGGAAGAGGGGAGCGGGGGGCGGGGGGGGGCGGCGGCGCGCGCCTCCGCAGGGGAGGGCGGCGTGTAGGCCTGCCCATTCAGCTCGGCCTTGATCTTCTCGCGGTAGAACTCCGCGGCCTGGGAGTTGTACTTTTCCCGGATGTCGGTGTGCTTGGTCACGCCGTACTTGCCGAGAAAGGCGTTGCAGGCGCCGTTGCCGCCCAGTTGCATCCGCTTGAGCTGGTCGGGGTTCCAGGCATCCATGGTGACCGACCTGAGGCAGGTGGAAGGGGTAGAAGGGCACAGGTGACACCTCTTCCAGGGAGACCACGACACTGAGCCCGGCCCAATGTCGCGGCGAGCGCCACAGGCGGCCGTGCTACCAGCACAGGGCCCTAGTACGAGTCTCTCTGCACTGCCAGGCCCCATTTCCCCCTTCCCAAGACGCACACCTGACAAAGCTGATGTGCACCCCCAGTCCGCGGTGCTTGCCGCTGCACTCCAGGCACATGAAGATGCCATAGGAGACAGAGGCCCACTGCGGGTTCTTGGTGTCACAGTCAACACAAACCTGCACCGGAGTATGGGCGTGTTGGCTGGGAGCACGCGCACACAGGCTGACACGAACCCACCAATACGGCAGCCGGTCTAAGGCTATGTGAGGTGAAAGTTATGCTCGTTCTCATAATCATGTTCTTACCTTGTTGTCTGGCCTGCTCTGCAGCTCCCGCAGGATGCGCAGTGCCTCGGGCTGAGCCATGGCTGGGGTCCCGGCCAGGGAGGAGCCTCGCACACTCCCTGTGCAATCCTTTGGGGTGATAAGGGGCCAACGCAGGACCAGGGCGCCCACGGGCTTTCGAAAGGAGCGCTGCGGCCAAGTACAGTTCCCGAGGTGGTTGGGAGTGGGATGGACGGGGGTTCGGCCCACTCTCCCGCCACCACACGGAGAGGAGGTGAAAGCTGGCAGGGCGAAGAGATGGCCCTCTACACCGTTAATTCGAGTTATCAGGGCCTCCTGTTCACCAGAACAGTAGCATCAAGGTCAATAGAGGCTCACAATTGGTAGCAAGGTGATATAGGGACGCCCAGGCACGACTTACATGGCAGACCTCTGGGATTGTTTCGGAAGCCTTACGGATGCCAGTCCTGGTGCGGTGGTGTGGTGACGGGACGCGACCCGATCAGATCGTGGGTCAAGGTCTGTTCTTGCAGATTCAGTGACGTTTCATGCAGGAATGCTCCTGATGCAAGCGGGGGGCTCATCCGCTTCGGATCACCCCTTTGCAGAGACATCGAGACTGGGGACAGGCAAAGAGCCCACAGGCCAGCAGACCGTGGCAAGCGGGGTTTGTAGACTGGGCCTGGTCTGCAAGCATTCGGTCTGGAGGTTGTGGGGCTCTGTGTACCACCCATGGCGATTGCACCCTTCTGCAAGGCGGGGATGCAATGCAACACAACCCACTCCTCATGCACAGGACGTGCTGTCCAGTGGCAGCGATGATGAGAAACTGGCCCAAAGCACAGCGTACATTGCCTCCTGTGTACGGACGCGGCGCTTGCCCCTGCCCACTAGCATCGAGCCCAAGAAGCGCAAGAAGGAGTCACCAGAAGATCATGAAGAGCCGGTCAATACCAAGAGTCTTCGCCGTCCCAAGACAAAGGCAATCAGCAGATCACTGTCAGCCCCTATGCGGAGGGAGCCAACCAAGATCAGGGAAAGGCGACGGCCTGAACCGACCCTGGACCCACGCTCATCCAACCTGTTGCATCGCATCAATGCATTGAGGGGTGATTTGATCCGCCAGTTTGACGAGGATGTCCCGGCTCAATGTGATGCCCCTGCTCCAGGTGGATGGGAGGGCAGGGAGCACTGCTTGCACCACAACGGGTGCTCCTTTCGGGGGATGGTGGCATGGTTTGGTATCACAACAGCTGGCCTCCTGTGATCCTTGTGGTTGGGGGCGGGGCCGTCACCCTTCCTGCATCCTTCCAGAAGCTGTCAAGCCCGTGTGCAGCCCTCCAAGGACAAACGCACACTCCCCTCCGCGGGATGCGAGCGAGGAAGACCGGCTCATGCTGACTGTGGAGTGTCAGCAGGGCAGGAAACGGATGCGGATGAAGAGGCTAGACCCTTTCTCCAAGCTGTTCGAGTCCTTTGAACGAGTGGCGCGGGAAGAGGTGCGGTGGGGGCTCCCTGTAAGCGTGGATGCACCCAATGCCCCATGGATGGGAGTGAACCACTTGGGGGCGACGGAATGCGTAGATGGGGAGGAGGGCACGTGCGTGCCAGCCCCAACCAATTCAAAACCCCTTTCCATACACCTGACATACTCCACCACCATAGCCCGTGTGCAGCCCTCCAAGGACGAACGCACACTCCCCTCAGCGGGATGCGGGCGAGGAAGACCGGCTCATGCTGACTGTGGAGTGTCAGCAGGGCAGGAAACGGATGCGGATGAAGAGGCTAGACCCTTTCTCCAAGCTGTTCGAGTCCTTTGAACGAGTGGCGCGGGAAGAGGTGCGGTGGGGGCTCCCTATAAGCGTGGATGCACCCAATGCCCCATGGATGGGAGTGAACCACTTGGGGGCGACGGAATGCGTAGATGGGGAGGAGGGCACGTGCGTGCCAGCCCCAAGCTCTCGGTCCAGGAGCAGTGTCCCCTGTTGTATTCACAGGGCTGGCTCGACTCTGGCGCTTTACGCTTTGTTTTTGATGGCGAAACTGTTGCGGGAACCCTGTCACCTAGGGACCTTGATTTGGAAGGGGACGAGGTGATAGAGGCTTACCCCTTGTGACTGGCAAGTTTGTGAGGACGCGAGGCCAGATAGGCACCCCTGATTCCCGGCTCAAACTGTGCCCCTCACATGCTCGCCCCTGAATACAGGGTTGCTCGTTGCACCGTGAAACATGTTGCTGTTGAAAGTACTACTGCCTAGAGTTGAGCTCTTATACATCCCTCACAACGCGGAAGCCTTTCATGCCAGGCAGGCGCTGGTTCGTGCTGCTAAGATTGTGGAATCGGGTTACTAACGGCATCGCTGTCATCATTTAACACATGTCTTGAGCACTGTAGCATAATAATTTTCGACTAAACCGGAACAGATGTGCGTTGCTCGTCGCCCTGGATGTCCCTGCCCAGGCCAGACTCTACCAAGCGGATTCAACAAATCCGACCGCAAGACTGCCGCCGCGAGGTCAAAGCACGAGGAAAGCTTTGTGGTTGTACGAGCGGACCAGTGTCAGAGGGCAAATGTCGTACTAACCAGGGCGCCTTGAAGCCCACGTAATCGCAAGGAGACTCGAAAAGCCGGGCACCAGTACTTCACACTCGGATTAGACGCCACAAATGCACCCTGAAAGCAAAATTAACTGCTTGAGTCCATAGCTCACGCATCATCATCCAAGTGACGAGCACCAGGAGGATCCGAAACTGAAACGGGTAGGGAACTATCCGCAGATACCTTCTTCGCACAGGCTGATCCGCGTGGCGAGCTCTTCCATGGACAGTCGTCGACCAGCCTTGCACACAAAATTGCAAGATTTTTGTATCCCAAACTTTTGAGACATAAGCAGTCAAATCGCACTGGTCGGTCTGAAGTGCTCTCATGGCAGGCCAGTTCCATCCGGTGGGTTGGGTCTCACTCCGGTTGGTCCGGAGCGCAGCCAGGTATTATCCCCCAATGCCCAGGGTTTTAGGAAAGCCTCCGTTACATCGGGGACTGCGTGAGTTTCCACATGACCATGCTAAAACGGAGAATAATATCTCAAGCAGCTATCGGCTTGTCGAACTTGAGTCTTTGGTGGAGTACTGGGCGACCGGAACAACCCAGAGCGGTCGGTCATTCGAAGCCCTCCGCAGTCTTCGCCATGTTCAAACCCGCCCACCGTGGCCTGTGGCTCTTCGTGTGTTCGCTATTACTCTCACCACTCGTCGTCAAAGGACATGGTACCCTTGTGTACCCGATGTCGCGCAACTACATCGCAAACAGTGATTATTGCCCCCACTGCTTGAACGCCGGAGGTGAGGTATGAGCCGCAGCTCTTACTGGGCCATAGATTTGGACTGGCTGGTTCCAGTGCAGGTGCTTTGGTGATTTGCAGAGGAACTTCATGTTTTACACAACATTACACCCCCCCCTGTGCTGCTGACGCTGTCCTTGTCCACAGGTGTCCGAGCTGTGCGGATAGGAGACCAGAAGTGGCCGGTGGGCCATCATGGGCTCTGTGGCGACAACTACTCACTGGCCATGCCCAGGCCTCATGAAGCCGGTGGAAAGCACTACACGGGACAGATTGGAGGTGCGAACAAACTGCCTTTCCTCAGATTGGAGGAGATGAAGACTACTGGGGGTGGTTGGGTACAGGTGCATGCCTTCGGTGTTCAGTAGCTAAAGGATCAGACCAACTATTAATCAGCCCTCTTTCGTCCTCATTTCGAACCAGCTTGGTTTGGTGAAGAGTCTGTTGCTCAGGCCTTTGTGAATGCAGTACGGTGTTGGCCGACCACCAGCCTCGCCACTGTTCATTGTGCAGGGACCTTCAGGACCGGCTCCATCATGCCCATCTACGTCACCGTGTCCACGTTCCACATGGGAAACTTCATGTTCCGCATCTGCAAGATCAGGGGCAACACCATAGCTAACGAGACGGCTCAATTGACAGAAGAATGCTTCAACGAAAACATACTGGTGAGTCGCCAGTCTGAGTGGTGGCCATGGGCTTAGGTATTGCCCAGAACCTGCCCCCCACCAAGCATTGCCCAGTCCAGCACAGTCGAAGGGGTGTTCGTGCTGATGACTCTCTCTCCACCTCGGCTCAGCCAGACTCAGCTCATCCGCATGGTGCAGGCCCTCACCACTCAAAATTTCTTTCCACCCCTCCCCGTGCACCCCATGCTCCAGACCCAGGCCAATGTTCCCGGGCAGCAGAACGTGAGCGACCCCTGGTATCACACGGGGTACATGGAAGCCAGCTCCTACACGCTCTACTTCCAGCTCCCTGCCAGCCTTGAGTGTGACGGGGTGACGAGCAAGTGTGTCTTCCAGTGGTACTGGCTCACCGCAAATTCCTGCATACCCCCCGGTGAACCAGCCGAGTATGTATTGGATCCCCTCCTTGGCACCTGCAGTGTGGTGAACACTTACCCTGAAGAGGTGGGGCGTCGGGGTGGGGGAAATGGGGTGATAATGTGTTGCAAGTCCCCAGCCCTGCATGGCACATGTGCACAGCCAGTACAGATGGCACTTCTCAAAAAGACTTACCAGCCCGCCCGCCAGAGACCATGCTGTTCAAGGACTGTTCTGTGCCGCACATTCTCATCACGCCTCCATCCATTATCCCATGCAGTTTTGGAACTGTGCCGACATTACCATCACAGACACCGCAGCTGCCGGTGGCCCCCCACCCCCCGCCTCACCTCCGCCCGGAATTGCCTCACCACCACCTCCCCCTGCCCCGCCCAAAAAGAGAAGCCCGCCTCCCCCTCCCAGCAGCCCTCCCCCTCCACCAGAGGAGTTGTCCCCACCGCCACCCGAGAAGAGTCCACCCCCGCCACTCAAGAAGAGTCCCTCACCCCCACCACTCAAGAAGAGCCCCCCGCCCGCTCCCAAGAAGAGCCCCCCGCCCGCTCCCAAGAAG